TAACCATCATATCAATCTTTTTTTTTGTATATGGATATTTTTAAAATTTAAAAATGGACTTAGAAATTCAGAATTATGACGTTTGAAATCTATTGTTAAAGCATCACGTCATAAACCATCTGGATTAAAATTTTTTTTTGCAGTATTTCTATGAACCAAACTATGAAAGTTTTCAATAAAATATTCATTAAATTCTGATAAATGTTCCTTCAGGATATCATACATAGGATGATCTATAGTTAGCCAATAAAATATATCAGAAAGAAAAGCAATCATGATTTTGTCATAATTTTTTCTTTTAAATCTCATCATTACCATCCATAATCTAAAAATTGTTTCAATATATTCCTGAAAATGGCCTTCTCTAAATAATATTGCGTATACATCCAAGGTAGAAGGAATAAGACTATCTAATAATTCTAGAAATATTTGGTATTCAGTATTTATAATTGTTTGAAATTTTATAATAATATGTTTTCTTATAATAGACCATCCTGAATGAGCCAAATGTAAAATCAAATTAATTATCCAAGGTTGTGGTGTTAAAGAAACATTTCTTTGTCTTTGAAATATATCTTTATATAAAAGATTGAAAAATGGATAATATTTCTTAAATTTAGTTTCTCTGGTATTAAGGAAACATGAAGAGGGCCTAATAAAGGGACAAATTTGATGATTTTATCAGAAATACCTGAATTTTCTTGATATCTTTGCCTTAGTGTAATTGCCTTCCATATAAAGTATTGTCCAGGGTAGTCAGCTGGAACTGGAATAATAAATTCAGATAAGTAATTGTCTATTAAAGGTATTTTTATAAACAAATCAATCGAATTTAAATAATCATCTAAAGATTTTAATTCTTGTGGAATAAAATCCACAAGTTTAACTGTATCCATTTTACGTGTTTCTATATGATTAATATGTAGATCTGATTCGTAGTTATGAATAGTTAAATGATCAATTAATGAATCTTCTGTGAGATTTGATGAATCACTTTGCAAAACCATGATGATTTCCTTTCTACATAACTAATTCCAAAAAGTGAAATATAATCATTTGTTAAAACCCAAGATAGCAAATCTACATCAATATTGAGAGGATTGTGAAGTGGTTCGTTCATATTTGAAAAATATGGTGTTGGTGAAATCTTAGGTGTATGTATCATAGTATTTGCCATATGAGCAACTTGTGATAGTTTTTCATCTGTTGGATTCCTTGATTGGTGGATGTCGTGGTAATCATCAATTAAACCTATTATAAGAGAGTTTATATTTTTTTCAATATATTCTTCTAAATTTTCTTTGTGTCTATTAACAATTTCATTTTTTTCTCTTAATACAGTTTTATATGTTGTGGTAATTCCACATTTGAAAGTAAATTTATTCCAGCTGCAGAAGTACCAGTTGAAGACATATGTAATGCTAATTCTTTTTTTCCCAATGTTATTTGTTTGTTTCTTAGACCTGCAATTTGATAACAAAGTATTATAAATTTTTTTTTTAAATCTTCTTGAGTTTTTTTGTTTTTTGAAGAAGGATTCATACTTTGATAAAGCATATCAAAAAACCCAATCAATTCCGAGTCTTTTTCTTCAATAATTCGAACAAACTCATCAGGATCATTAATTGGAGGTTTATTTTCTCTATGTTGATGATTATAAAGGACAGTTGACATTTTTTTTACTTGTTCATTAAAAAATTGTGAAAATTCAATCATATCTATGTATAAAAAAAAAGACAATAAAAAAATAATATATATATAATTAATTTCCTTTAAAAATTATTTTTAAATAAAACAAATTTACAATTACAAAAAAATAATTTTTAAATAAATTTACAATTACCTTTAATTTTATCAACAGATGGCCTTGTAATAGACTCTATTTCTTGTTTTAAGTTATCTATACTGTTTTTTAAATTATCTATTTCATTTTGTAAATCTATTATTTCTGAATAAGAAGATATGTTAGTATTTAATTTAATTCTTTTCTTAATTTTTTTGTCATTGGTAAATATGATTCCTGACTAGTATTAAGTCTATGTCTTTGATATTTGATGTTTCTATCCCATTGAACCTTTGAGGTGTAACACTTTGTACAGAGAGAATCACCTATATTAAGTTCAAAGCATCCTCCTCCTTCAGCTTTTCCTTTAGTAGTTTCATTTATTGTTCTAAAATATTCAGATTTAGTTTCTTTACAAAGCATGCATTGTTTAATTTTTGGCATTTTCACTATTATACACTGAAATCAAGGAAGGTCTGATCTAGTCTGATCTGACACGGAAAACATTTTAAAAGATAAAGGATAATAATACTGCAAAGTTTGAACACAGGTCAATTAGTGTTCGTCCATTCACCTTCCAAATGGGGTGATAGTACTTTAAAATCTTCAATTGAAATGTATATTGGTGATCGTGTAACATACGAATGTCCATCATGCTTAAAAAAAGGAAATAAATAAATCAAATAAATCAAATGTATGTTGTAGAAAATATTCTATGAAAAAACAGTTGTTACACAGAATTTACTTAGTCTCAATTTCTTAAATGTATAACAAAATTCAGAATTTTCAAAATGC